CAACAGGAACAGAGGAGACACCAAAACAAACGGGTAGACATCAACAGGGAAAAAGGAGGACACCAACAGGAACAGAGGAGACACCAAAACAAACGGGTAGACATCAACAGGGAAAAAGGAGGACAACAACAGGAACAGAGGAGACACCAAAACAAACGGGTAGACATCAACAGAGAAAAGGAAGGACAACAACAGAACAGAGGAGACACCAAAACAAACGTGTAGACATCAACAGGGAGAAGGGAGGACAACAACAGAAACAGAGGAGACACCAAAACAAACGGGTAGACATCAACAGAAACAGACAAAAGGAGGACAACAACAGGAACAGAGGAGACACCAAAACAAACGGGTAGACATCAACAGGGAAAAGGGAGGACAACAACAGGAACAAAGGAGACACCAAAACAAACGGGTAGACAACAACAGAAACAGACAAAAGGAGGACAACAACAGGAACAGAGGAGACACCAAAACAAACGGGAAGACATCAACAGGGAAAAGGGAGGAAAACAACAGGAACAAAGGAGACACCAAAACAAACGTATAGACATCAACATGGAAATGGGAGGACAACAGCAGGAACAGAGCAGACACCAAGGCAGCCGGGAAGACACCCCGAACTCTCACCGTAACGGAGATGAATATGATTTTAAAGGAGATATTGCCTTTCAAACCCAGGCAAGTATGTAGGTCATGTGTGTGTACGGGACAGTTATCTCTTTAATCGCGGTAGACGCTGAAATGTCATCAATACAGATAGTCTGAAATCACGTCACAATGGCAACTTGTTAATACGATCACGGACTTAGATAACTAATTTAATTCCGTGATACGATATTGAAGCTTCTTGTAGAAAATAACCTATACCGCCATATAAAAAATGTAACCAATTCTAAAATTTTGCTTGCCTCAAAATCCGGAATCGATCTTTTCTTCATTTTGTAGTATTCCAAGAAAACTTTTACAATTAACACCATAACACATGATAGCGTTATATATATATATATACCTGATCATTCATGATTATCTTTCACCATTGTTATCTAGGTCCAAGTACGTGTGACCGGTTACCTAGCGATGGCAGCTGTGATACAACCAGGAGCGATCCACGCATTCACACTCTTTTCAAAGAAATTAAATTAGAGAATCAGAAAACCCCAAAGAAAAGAGTAATTTTTATGAGCTTTCTGAGCTCTCAGAAATCAAACAATCATGATGGGAACACAGCACGATACTAGTGTAACTGTCTTACTATCAGTAAATATCGGCTGAATCACCAGTATGTGTACACATTATTGTGTATGTAACGCATGAACTGGATAACTACCATACTCTGATAAATTGTATGTGTGCGTTTATGTGTGATTCGTATCGAGGCACATGACAGTCAAACTTCATGAACAGGTGATCAACTCAACTCCGAATGTAAGCAGCTTTTTTAATTGTTATATCATAATTAACTATTTATTTTCATATAACCAAGAAACAGACAAGGTCGTGATTAATAACTGTGCGCACAGAGAAATGTAAACAGGTATCGAGGAGAGTCGTGGAGGTATGACTGTAACAACACAGGCCTGTGGATAGATACTGTAGATCCTACATACGGTATGACATATAGCATACACACAGTACCCTTAACACATGTCATGGTCCGATGCCAGGACTCTCTTTCCGTCACAATGTGTCTGGTCGGGTATTAAGATCATCCACCTATTAACATATCTCTGGTCGAGTGAAGGAACCTTCCATTTGTCAACATCTCTCTGGTCGAGTGTTAGCACAGTCAATATATTTCTGGTCGAGTTTTGGGACCTTCCAGTTGTTCACATATTTCTGGTCGAGTTTTGGGACCTTTCATTAATTAAAATTAATCAAGGACCCTTTAGCTTTCGATGTATCTTAAATTTATTATTAAGCACCTAAATTTGTCAACATGTTTCTGGTCTGATGATAGGACCAGTTAACATCTCTCTGGTCGGGTGATAGGGCCAGTTAACATCTCTCTCGTAGGGTGATAGGACCAGTTAACATCTCTCTGGTAGGGTGATATGACCAGTTAACATCTCTCTCGTAGGGTGATAGGACCAGTTAACATCTCTCTGGTCGGGTGATAGGGCCAGTTAATATCTCTCTCGTAGGGTGATAGGACCAGTTAACATCTCTCTCGTAGGGTGATAGGACCAGTTAACATCTCTCTGGTCGGGTGATAGGGCCAGTTAATATCTCTCTCGTAGGGTGATAGGACCAGTTAACATCTCTCTCGTAGGGTGATAGGACCAGTTAACATCTCTCTGGTCGGGTGATAGGGCCAGTTAATATCTCTCTCGTAGGGTGATAGGACCAGTTAACATCTCTCTCGTAGGGTGATAGGACCAGTTAACATCTCTCTGGTCGAGTGATAGGACCAGTTAACATCTCTCTAGTCGGGTGATAGGACCAGTTAACATCTCTCTGGTCGAGTGATAGGACCAGTTAACATCTCTCTAGTCGGGTGATAGGACCAGTTAACATCTCTCTGGTCGAGTGATAGGACCAGTTAACATCTCTCTAGTCGGGTGATAGGACCAGTTAACATCTCTCTGGTCGGGTGATAGGACCAGTTAACATCTCTCTAGTCGGGTGATAGGACCAGTTAACATCTCTCTGGTCGGGTGATAGGACCAAGTCAACATCTCTCTGATAGGGTGATATGACCAGTTAACATCTCTCGGGTAGGGTGATAGGACCCAGTCAACATTTCTTTAGTCGGGTGATAGGACCAAGTCAATATCTCTCTGGTCGAGTGATAAGACTAGTTAACATCTCTCTGGTCGAGTGATTGGACCAGTTAACATCTCTCTGGTCGAGTGATAGGACCAGTTAACATCTCTCTAGTCGGGTGATAGGACCAGTTAACATCTCTCTGGTCGGGTGATAGGACCAAGTCAACATCTCTCTGATAGGGTGATATGACCAGTTAACATCTCTCGGGTAGGGTGATAGGACCCAGTCAACATTTCTTTAGTCGGGTGATAGGACCAAGTCAATATCTCTCTGGTCGAGTGATAAGACTAGTTAACATCTCTCTGGTCGAGTGATTGGACCAGTTAACATCTCTCTGGTCGAGTGATAGGACCAGTTAACATCTCTCTAGTCGGGTGATAGGACCAGTTAACATCTCTCTGGTCGGGTGATAGGACCAAGTCAACATCTCTCTGATAGGGTGATATGACCAGTTAACATCTCTCGGGTAGGGTGATAGGACCCAGTCAACATTTCTTTAGTCGGGTGATAGGACCAAGTCAATATCTCTCTGGTCGAGTGATAAGACTAGTTAACATCTCTCTGGTCGAGTGATTGGACCAGTTAACATCTCTCTGGTCGAGTGATAGGACCAGTTAACATCTCTCTAGTCGGGTGATAGGACCAGTTAACATCTCTCTGGTCGGGTGATAGGACCAAGTCAACATCTCTCTGATAGGGTGATATGACCAGTTAACATCTCTCGGGTAGGGTGATAGGACCCAGTCAACATTTCTTTAGTCGGGTGATAGGACCAAGTCAATATCTCTCTGGTCGAGTGATAAGACTAGTTAACATCTCTCTGGTCGAGTGATTGGACCAGTTAACATCTCTCTGGTCGAGTGATAGGACCAGTTAACATCTCTCTAGTCGGGTGATAGGACCAGTTAACATCTCTCTGGTCGGGTGATAGGACCAAGTCAACATCTCTCTGATAGGGTGATATGACCAGTTAACATCTCTCGGGTAGGGTGATAGGACCCAGTCAACATTTCTTTAGTCGGGTGATAGGACCAAGTCAATATCTCTCTGGTCGAGTGATAAGACTAGTTAACATCTCTCTGGTCGAGTGATTGGACCAGTTAACATCTCTCTGGTCGAGTGATAGGACCAGTTAACATCTCTCTAGTCGGGTGATAGGACCAGTTAACATCTCTCTGGTCGGGTGATAGGACCAAGTCAACATCTCTCTGATAGGGTGATATGACCAGTTAACATCTCTCGGGTAGGGTGATAGGACCCAGTCAACATTTCTTTAGTCGGGTGATAGGACCAAGTCAATATCTCTCTGGTCGAGTGATAAGACTAGTTAACATCTCTCTGGTCGAGTGATTGGACCAGTTAACATCTCTCTGGTCGAGTGATAGGACCAGTTAACATCTCTCTAGTCGGGTGATAGGACCAGTTAACATCTCTCTGGTCGGGTGATAGGACCAAGTCAACATCTCTCTGATAGGGTGATATGACCAGTTAACATCTCTCGGGTAGGGTGATAGGACCCAGTCAACATTTCTTTAGTCGGGTGATAGGACCAAGTCAATATCTCTCTGGTCGAGTGATAAGACTAGTTAACATCTCTCTGGTCGAGTGATTGGACCAGTTAACATCTCTCTGGTCGAGTGATAGGACCAGTTAACATCTCTCTAGTCGGGTGATAGGACCAGTTAACATCTCTCTGGTCGGGTGATAGGACCAAGTCAACATCTCTCTGATAGGGTGATATGACCAGTTAACATCTCTCGGGTAGGGTGATAGGACCCAGTCAACATTTCTTTAGTCGGGTGATAGGACCAAGTCAATATCTCTCTGGTCGAGTGATAAGACTAGTTAACATCTCTCTGGTCGAGTGATTGGACCAGTTAACATCTCTCTAGTCGGGTGAAAGGACCAGTTAACATCTCTCTGGTCGAGTGATAGGACCAAGTCAATATCTCTCTGATAGGGTGATAGGACCGAATCAGCATCTCTCTGGTAGGGTGATAGGACCAGTTAACATCTCTCTGGTAGGGTGATATGACCAGTTAACATCTCTCTCGTAGGGTGATAGGACCAGTTAACATATCTCTGGTCGGGTGATAGGGCCAGTTAATATCTCTCTCGTAGGGTGATAGGACCAGTTAACATCTCTCTGGTCGAGTGATAGGACCAGTTAACATCTCTCTAGTCGGGTGATAGGACCAGTTAACATCTCTCTGGTCGGGTGATAGGACCAAGTCAACATCTCTCTGATAGGGTGATATGACCAGTTAACATCTCTCGGGTAGGGTGATAGGACCCAGTCAACATTTCTTTAGTCGGGTGATAGGACCAAGTCAATATCTCTCTGGTCGAGTGATAAGACTAGTTAACATCTCTCTGGTCGAGTGATTGGACCAGTTAACATCTCTCTAGTCGGGTGAAAGGACCAGTTAACATCTCTCTGGTCGAGTGATAGGACC